AGTGTAAATTTATTGGGGTATTTCACCTTTTAAGGTGCTGCTTTATTTTAAATTGTAGTTTAAGTAAATATTGTACATCGCCTTATTCACTTTGTTTTTTGCGCTTTAGTTGTGTCTTGTTACCATGCCTGTTGCAGGTATTGGCTAGATACTGACTCTTCTATATATATATATATATATATATATATATATATAGTGCAACACAACATCATCATGTAAAGTAAATATAGAGTCGTTGTTCCAACCCACATTCAATGCACTGTTGTTGCAGAGATAACATTGCCTCAAAGGAGGATTGCTCCGGAACTGACATCAATCAGAATGTTGAAAGCCGTAACACTCCACCCTCCCATGAAATTCACAGTGCTTTACAAGCCATAAAGCATTCAGGTACAGATCCATATTAAATGTATGTATTATATGATATTCCTTCTTTCTCTGTATGTCAGATTGGAGTTGTGTTTTTTTTTTGTTTGTGTTGTTTTTAAATGTCAAGGCTTGAGTTGATCCATGATAGATTATGCAAAAATATTATCATTAAAACATATATTTTTGTACGCTTTCTTTCAAATTAAAGTTTTTATTGAGCATTTTAGTACATAGAAAAAATCAAGAACTATAAACTATTACAAGCAGAGGTGGAGTAAATGTATGTATTCAGCTGAATAGTAGGCACAATTATGTGTGTGAAACATTTTAATATAGTTACATAGTTACATAGTTACATAGCTGAAAAGAGACTTGTGTCCATCAAGTTCAGCCTACCTCACATTTGTTTTTTGCTGTTGATCCAAAAGAAGGCAAAAAAAAACAGTTTGAAGCACAATTTTGCAACAAACTAGGAAACAAAATTCCTTCTTGACCCCAGAATGGCAGATTTATCCTTGGATCAAGCAGTTATTACCCTACATTGAAAGATTATATCCTTGAATATTCTGTTCTTGCAAGTATGCATCTAGTAGCCGTTTGAAGATCTGTATGGACTCCGATAAAACCACTTCCTCAGGCAGAGAATTCCACATTCTGATTATTCTTACAGTAAAAAAACCTTTCCTTTGCCTTAGACGAAATCTTCTTTCTTCCAGTCTAAACTCATGGCCTCGTGTCCTGTGTAAAGTCCGGTTTGTGAATAGATTTCCACACAATGGTTTGTATTGGCCACGAATATATTTGTATAATGTTATCATATCCCCTCTCAGGCGACGTTTTTCTAAACTAAATAGGTTTAAATTTGTTAATATGGGGTTATACAACTTGAATATGGACCACCTTAGTTTGGAAACAAGATTATAGACCATGTTTAATGGAACACTACAGTCACCATAACGACTACAACCCGCTGACAACCTCCCAGAGTAAGAAGGCCACGACAGCTTACCTGGGGTTTGCCGGATGCTCATCGTCTCCTCCCCTGGTGTTGGGAGCTCCTGCATGGAGCTTCTGCTGGCTTCACCGAGGTAAGGCCAGCTCTGCAGGTCCAATTCATTGGCTGAGAATGTCAGCTGAGCACTGCCAACCAATGAACGTGGCCCAGCACTGCAGGGTTAGCTCACTGACATAACCTTTGGCATCAGAGGAGACCACGGCGGATTCCAGGTAAGTCGTGAAACCTGCTAAACCGTTTGACTACTTTGGCACTGTGCTAGGGCATTCCTGGCATCATATAACCCTTATAGGAGGCTGGAATGGTTATGGTGTTTCCTTTATCTGTTTGAAATGGAAAATTGCAAATTGCCACTGAAGCGTGGGAGGGGATAAGGAAATGAGTGTAGTCTCGATCTCGAACTGGTGGACGCAATCCCAGATCCATATGAAAACTAGAAAGGCATGGCCTTTAAGACTGGGCTAATGTTGGGCATTTATTACTGAACCGTGCCCATAACCAATTTCTATTTAGCACTAGAGCTAATGAATGACTGTGCTAAACGCTCTATTTCCCCCAAGTAGGCTATTTCTAAAAGTATTGAGAAGGGACTGTGGAATACTTATAGCAATGGACAGTTTTGCAGCAGTTATCATATGGATGATTAAATTAATAGTCTACAAAGGGAAGAGGGGGTAAAACCCCAAATCAGTGATTCAATAGATAGGAGTAGAATTATGTGACAAAACAACAGGTGATAAACTGCGCCAAACAGAACTGAAAAAAAATCACACGTGTATACGCAATCTTAACAATAACCTAATAGTGTGTAATAAATTATGTATATACACGTACTCTCTCTGGAGTAAAGTGATTTCGTATTTCGGTACCAAGAAAACCTCAAAATAAAACAAATTCAACAAAAAATAGTGTAATATGTCTTAATGGTTTTACAGACAGTTAATTATATAGGTGTCTCACACTTTTATGAGCTACTGAGAGCTCTGCTGTTTAGCGCTTTGACAGTACAATCCCTGTCTTGGGATGTATGTAGATCCTCAATTTAATGTGTCCAGTACGACTCCAGCCTATAAAATAAAGCAGAGAGGGTCTAATATTGCAATTTCTTATATATATAAGGTGCACAGAAGCAAAATATCCTACTTACACGTTGGAGAGCAGTAAACTTACTATGGTGGTATAAAGCCTTGGTGAGATAATCCCCACCCGAGGATGTGCAGGAACCAGTTGTTCAGCAGCAAAACAACAAATTGGATATGATGTTGAAGACAATACATTTTATTTATATATAGTTGTTAAAAGTAATATTACAAGTAAATAAAATACAAGAATAATATATATAGATATAAAGAACTTCTCTAAGGTCATACTTCACACTATGAGTTTCTCCCAGCAGGGCTTCCTCAGAAGTGTGGAGAAGGAGTAGAATTATGGCAGTAACATAAAATGATAAGCTGCTGTATAGAAAGCCGATGAGGGCACCACCAAATAAGACATTCAGAGTTATTTACTAAAGTAAATATTGTTGGGAATTCAAAGTGAGTTCCACATTTTAAGAGGTTAAACCAACCAGGGGCGTACCTAGAGCATTTGGCACCCGGGGCGGATCCTGTGCTTGGCACCCCCCCCTCAAAAAAAAAAAAAAAAAAACCTGTAAAAAATGTTAAAGGTTTTCTTTAATTAATCCACACTCCTTAATTAATCCATACCCCTTAATTAATTCATCCACCCCCCTTAATTGATACACACACCCTTAATTAAATCCATCCCCCTTAATTAATCCACTCCCCCATAATTAATCCACACTAATTAATCCACCCCCATAATTAATCCATCCCCCCTTAATTAATACACCCCACTTAATTAATACACCCCCATAATTAATCCACCCCCCCTTAATTAATCCACTACCCATAATTAATTCCCCCTTAATTAATCCACCCCATAATTAATCCACCCATATAATTAATCCACTCCGCCTTAATTAATCCACCCCTATAATTAATCCACCCCTATAATTAATACACCCCCCATAA